ACCATTGCACTGGCTTCTGCCGATGGAGCCAGTCCCGAGAAGCCCAAAGTTGTACCAGGTTTCGGCCTCTTGGTGCAACGTCCAGACACGGGCCTTTGCTTTGCAGTCTTCCCAGCTGTACCAGCTGGATCCAACCTTGCCGCCTCCGGCGTCCCCAAGGGAAGACCAAGCATCCGCATACTTGGGATCAAGCTCCAGCGCCGTCACGTAGCAATCCTTCGGGCTGCACGTTCTGCCGCCGCAGCTGCCCTTTACTTTTCGACCGCCACAGCTTCCCAGGTTGGACCATGCCGGGGCAAATTTGGGATCGAGCTCCAACGACTGCACATAGCAGTCGCAGGCGCTGAAGGTGGTGGCTTTCACCCTTCCACCCCCTGCTGCGCCCAAGTTGTACCATGTACTCGAGCTGCTGGGACTGAGCTCCAAAGCCTTTGCATAGCAAGCCGTTTGGTTGTAGAAGGTGTTGTTCACTTTACCACCACCTGCCGCTCCCAAATTTGCCCAGGTGTCTGTATAGTTTGCGTCTAGCTCCAGAGACTTCACGTAGCAGTCTCTCCAAGTGTACCAAGTGGAGCCGACTTTTCCACCACCCGCTGTGCCCAAGTGTGACCACGCCCTTGGACTATCCCGCTTAAACTTCAGAACCTGAACGAAGCAGTCGGTCTGATTGAAAAATCTGGAGCCCACCATGCCACCCCCCGCCACACCCAAGTGGGACCATGCATCTGCATGGTCAGGATCCAGCTCCAAGGCTTTCACGAAACAGTCCTTCTGGCTGTACCAGTGTGAATTGATGCTGGCTCCACCCGCAGCCCCCAGATGCGTCCATGCCCAGACAGCTCTCGCCGTCCCAGGCTTTCCGGCTAGTTGTGCATGTTGGGGGGACTGCTTTGTCTCCTGAGACTGCTGGAGCCAGTCTTGGAGGTACTCGACGCAGCTTGGCTTGTTGTTGCACGGGGTATGGCAAAGACCGGTCGCTAGGCAAGCAAAGAGCAATTGTCGCAGCATGGCGCCCAAAGCCCGGTCTTTCTATGCGCAACTTGAGGTTGAGCAGCCCGGCTCAGCACGCAGACGACCAAACTTCCCCCGACTTTTTTCCTGAAAAAGCTGCGGACCGCTCGCCTGTCGTGTTGGCCGGCTCTTCCACAGCCCACAGCCTGTATTCGGCTTCCAACATGTAAAGCCCCCCACCGCCCCACACTTGACTGTCAGTCTTGGCCCCAAACTCATGCTGGGCAAGTTGTGGCAGCTCTGCCGAGCTGCCAACACTGCTGCCTCGGCGTGCGGGGCAGAGGCCGAGCACAGCAAAACATCTTCCGAAAACCGAAGACATTGACATTGTGATGGCTCGAGGAAGACTTCAGTGTCAGACCGATGGAGGCAGCGGGTCGAGGGACGGCTGCCTGGCACTTTGGCGTTGACATCAGGCTTTTGGGATTCTCGGGGCTTCGGAATTCTGAACACGCGATCCCATCCCGCACCCCACACAGAGACACCCCCCTTAATGTGTCACGAGCGGCGAGCAGCCGAAAAAGACGCCGAGCACATTTCCGGGAGATGCCCACCTCTTGAGACACTGCAAGCCTGAGCCTAGTCTCTCATGCAGCAGCGGGCCCATTCATGCCATCCTACGACTTCGACGAGAGCTGTTTGCATCAGTCGGGCATCGTGCCCTTGCAAAGGCTCGGGCACAGTCCTCCTGCGCAACTCGTCCAATGTGGGCAGCTTTGGCCACAGCAAAGGAATTAAACGACTTGAAGAACGGCTAGGGCCTAGGGTTCCCTCTGGCTGGCGAAGAGCCTTCCAAGAGCCATCGCGTCCGTTGTCACAGCGAAATAACATGGCCCAGTCGTCATGGAAAGGCTAGCCCAAGCGGCCCCGCTCTCGGGGCCGAGGCCGAAGGCTGCCAAAGGCCAGTAGTCGGGAGCCGTGTAATGCCAGGCACCGAGCCACATCAACGGTAGCTCCGCGAGCGGCCCACCAATGGCAGCGACGAGTGCCAAAACGAGTGCAAAGAGCCGACCATCCAGGACAGCCCACTGAAAAAACGCCAGAAGCATCAGCAGCGGAAGAGCTATGGCACTAGAAACTCCCGCAGAGATCAGCAGCTCGCTTGCTTTGATGATCAGGCAGGTGGATGTCACTGCCAGGATTGCCCGACTCAGTGGGTTCAGGCCACGCAGCAATGGCAAATTCTCGGCATTCCGGCTTCCAAGTATCCTTGGACGTGCAGAAAACCGACTGAATGAGAGCATTGCACGGAGCTTAGTCAAACAGACTTCTGGAAGGGTCGAAGCCTTGATTTGCAGCCACCTCCTGGGACGCCCCCTCGTGAAACCTGACTATCGAAGTAAACCCTAAACCCAAAAGCCCTGAATGGTCGCTTCTGACGGAAGCCCTCAAGTTCTATTTCCCGCTGAGCCCTTCGCATCTGCGAGAACATCAGTCCATGCTCCCCGGCCACCGAGAGTCGATGCAGCCAGGGATGGCAGGACACTGCCAAGCAGCGCATATGCTACGGCGAGAAGTGGTGGCACCTGCAGCATTCTCGAAAATTTCACACATCTCTGAAGAAATAAACACCACCACCTGAGTCCAAGGTGCCAGCAGGGAAGTTTTCGCAACGCCAAAGACCAAGTCCGCGCTGACCGGCAGCACCTCGTAGCTCAGAAGCGCCTCCCAAGAGGCCAAGGGCTCATACCCCAAAGTCAGAATCCTATAGTCCCCCTAAATTTTTCCGACAGACTCCTAAGTTACTTAATTCCGAAAATAAAAGAAACTAGACACTAAAAACCTGAACCCTCTAAATTGTCCAAAGCCTGCAAACCTTAGAGAGAGAGAGAGAGCGAGCGAGAGAGAGCGAGAGAGAGAGAGAGAGCGATAGCGATGACAGCTCAGCGGCCTGATTGTGAATAGCGTCGACCCCCGGGCCCAGGACGGCACCCACCAATGCCAGGCCTCCTGAACTCAGAGTACATAGGGTTGAGGGTTTAGGGATTAGGGTTTAGGGTTTAGGGTTTAGTAAATGATCAATTCGTGGTTTCTTCGTGGTAACTTAAAAAAGCAAGCTTCTTCACAAGAACCCAGGGGTAAACCGGGCAAAGCAAGCAGGATGGGTGCAGAAGATAGAAACCGAGGCCAGGTGCATGTCCAGTGCGCAAGCAGTCTCAAGAATCACCCAGGGCTTTTCACGGGTAGCCGGGGACTGAGCAATGACATGACGCCAAAGCTTCCGTCGGATTGTTGCATCAGGACGACATCCATCGAACACAATGGCCGAAGAGCTACAAGCTTCAACCTATCTGCCTCATCGCCATACACTGGTCTCTGCCTTCCTTACAAGCTTTCGTTCAGAAGACTGGTTTCGCCCAGGTCCTGCAGACCGCAAATCCACGATATCGTCCACCGGCGCCTGATGGATGCAAGGTGAGCCTCCTAAACCCTAAACCCTAAACCCTAAACCCCTGCGATTTCGCGACAGGCCGGGCCAGCGGGCCTCGTCGCCGCCAGCAAACCGCGCGCTGCTCCTGGCGCCAGGCTCCACCGGCATGTACTTGGAGGATCATGGGACTTAGTAACTGAGGTTATAAACAAGGTAACTATACTTAGAACCCCAATTAGGGTACATATAATCCTACTTACTAAGTCTCAAGATCCGCCAAGTACTTCGGAAGCCTCCATCCCTTCATTGCCTCCATTCCTTCTACACAGCTTACAGCTTGCAACATGGACACGGCAACAGGTGGCGGCCCGGATTCGGAGCGGTCTTTGCGTGTTTGCTGTGTCTTTGGGTTGAAAGTTGACACTATGCAAACATCCTGTAAGTCAGCAGCAAGAGGGATGCCTCCAGACCCGCGCAGAAAACGTGGCAGGACACGCAGTCGTGTGTGGGATGGGCTGACGCAAAGTTGATACCGAAGCAGCGGTAGCATGCTGCTGGAAAGCCCCGCCCTGCACACCCTAACATTGGCTATGACAAAGCAAGCATTCCAGGAGCTGCATAGACTCTTAGACGCAAACCCAAGGCCCCGAGACAAAGCAGAGAAGGACGAAGTCAGAGCCACACCATCTGGCCCGGCACCTGCAGCGAGGGACTTCAGTGGGAGCCGCGACGAATGCAGACGCCAGAGTCAGACCTGCCAGCGGCTCTAAAGCAAAGTGCCTTTGAGAGCATCGTCCATGGAGTCTCAAGCCTTCGGGTTCCCCGGTGATTTCAACTACCACCTCAAACTCCCATCCGCTTCCTTACAGCACCATCATCATTGTCAGTGACACCTAGCAGAACGCATCATCCATTACCCCATCGCAGCCCCTTTGGCAGCACTTCCAAGGAAATCCAGTGGGGGAGGCGCATGCCACACGGTGCCAGATCTGTCATCATGTCGCCACGAATCCATCACAACAGGGTCTCACTCTTGCTGCATTGCACATCCTGTCAATACAGAGTCCGGCGTACAGACAAACACAAGCAGCAATCACAGCTTAATGTCCACGAAGTGTTCTGTCCTTCTACTTAGTCACTAACTTAGTCCTCATAATGTCGTAACCTCGTAGTTGCTTGGCCTGCTAGCGTCAGCACACAGCAGCTGGATCCCGCACATCGAGACCGACCGCGCTTCCAGCCCATTGCCAAGGCTACTGTTGAGGTGGACAGGGGATGGCCGAAGAAGGAATGGACACATCGCAGAAGAAGCTGGCGAATTGCAAATGTGTCGCAAGTCCCGCTGTGTCCTGACTGAGTGGGCTGCAACTCTTAAGGCGCTGGAGCAAAGCAGACACTGCCGAAGCTGTTCCACACCGCAGACTTCGTGCAGCCAGTTTCATGCCGTGTAGAAGGCTGAATACCTTTTGCACAGTGCCTGCAGGACTTCGAGGAGAGCATCCTGGCGCAGGTTGTCAGGGCCGTGGAGAAGCGATGCGCAGTCTTCAAAGCTCTTCTTTTCTTTGGTCTGCTGCTTCACGGCTGTTTTGGCTTTGCGCATCGCGAGCTGCTCAGATGTTTAGCGGCGCAGCCTGCAAAGTCTCCACTGATGGAGAGCACAGCCCTCGGCATCCCTCGGCATCCCTCGGCATCCCTGAGCCTCGCGTCACCGGTCCGGAACCGGGGCAAGGCAGGGTCCTGGGAGTCCTGGCTGAGGGGGCATGGAGTGAGGCTGAGGGCTTTGAGGGACCGGTCCTCCGCGGTGCGCGCTGATGAGGGCGGCGGCAGTAGCAGCTGAGCCTTCTGGTTGGCATCAAAGACTCCTCGAGAGGACCACCAGGTCTTGCCATAGGAGATCCTTGCAGCTCGAGTCAAGGCAAGGGTCAGCCGCCCAGCCTTCAACAGGTTGCCAAACTGACTCAGACCGGGCAGCAACAACTCTTCCCCGGCAGAGATATCGCGTTTGGCAACATAGCATATCTCAGCTGGGCTTGGACCAGAACAAACACGAAGGCCTAGTCAGAAACTACTCAGCTGCTCTTACCAATCCAGGCTGCGCTCAAGCTTTGTGAGGGCGCACAGGTTCCCACTCGAACGCGGCGGTAAGCCTTTCAAGGCGGTCAGGTCTCTCGATGTCTCTCGGAGTCCAGAAATGCAGTCCGGCACTTCTACGAAGGCCACTTCGTCATGCCAAGTTGCCAAGTTTGGAGCTGACGCATGGTTGTAAATGCTCCCGCAGCCCAAGACTACTCCTGGGTTGCTCGGCATTGCTCGACACAGGGCATGCAGAAACCTCAACAACCTCTTGCAGGGCAGATGAACGTAAATGCAGTTGGCCCTGTCGGGCCTTTTGCAGCTGAGCAGCGGAACAGCCCTGCACGCAGACGCTCGGCAGAGTACCGGTAATCCGCAAGCAGGCGTCCCAACTCCTTAATTCCGAATGATCGGAAGTGCTGGATCAATCACATGATTTCGCCTTCAAGTAGAAGGACTGCCGGACTGTATCAAGCCACGGCACACTCTCCATCAAGAGGATACTTGGAGCGATTTCCACGATCTCTCCCTCAGCAAAGGCCTTCCTCGCATAGACCTGAAGTTCAGACGAACACTACAAGGAGTAGGGAGGCACCTCCGCACTCATGACATGACGGCCCATGGTTCCCAAAGTCCAAGGCGCTCCCAGGCCATGGACATCAGAAAGGCGCGTTGCCAAGGATGACGGGTACCTTAGGACGTCCTGCGCGAAGGAAACTCGAAGGCATCTGCAAGATGTCCCCCGCTCCGCCGCTCCTCCAAGTCCTTGGACAAAAGCGATCTGACTCTGTCACGATCTGGACATATCTGGTCTCTACAGGCATGGAAACCACGAGCTACACGAGACGAGCAGCAGTCTCTGCGGCTGCGATGGCTGGTACAGCTCCCTGGCACGATGATCTGAGGGAGAGCACTCCAACGCGACTCTCCAAGCGCTTCCGAGAACTGGCTGCCTGCAAGGCTTTCTGCAGGGCGGCACCCAGCAAGTCCTGCACGTCGCAAGACTGTCCCTGCACCTTCGAGAGCATCGTCTTCCAAACGCATGGGTCCCGTGGCCGTGGTCTCTTTCGAGCACGAGGAAGCAGCAACTCTTCGCCTCTGGCGACAGATTATTAACAGGATTACGATTATGGTTGATATCCTTGTTACCATGTTTACGATTATTCCTCCTCCTGCTACTCCTACTACTCCTCCTTGTTTCCTTGCTGCTCCTGCTGCTGCTGTAGCTGCCCCTACTACTCCTACAACTCCTACTACGCTTACTACTACTACTACTACTACTACTACTACTACTACTACTGCAAGCACACTGTGCCGGGAAACTAGAACTGCTCTTTGGCCAAGCTTGTCGAACAGTCTTGGTCTCGCCGACTAGTTTGCCTTTTGGACCAAGATTGCGACCAAGATCGCCTTGCAATCTTGGTCTCCATAAGGTACACTAGTCGGTGAGCAAGTGGGGCAGGTGCAAGATGACCAAGATTGCCAAGATTGCTTGGCAATCTTGCCCCACCGCCTCGAGCAAGATTGCAAAGTCGTCGAAATTTTGGAAAATATTAAAATTCAAGTTCGCAGGCACAATGTAGTAGTAGCAATAGTACTGCTACTACTGCTACTACTA